AAAGATTGGCAATAGTAAACAACATGCCATTTAGAAATGCCTGCATGTGTAATAAAACTATGTAGAAAGGCTTAGAAAGCTTAACACAAATTTCAAGATAGTGTTTACTTAAGGCTGTAGCAAGGAGGGCTTAACTGGGGAAGTGCAAACTGGTAAAATTTACTGGTAACTGGTAAAGTTCCATTTCTTCAGCTGAATGACAGGCCCCATGGATTCATTTCATTTCTCTCAAAACTATGCAAATTGGCTAGCTATACTTTTCTCTGTACATCATATATTCCATAATATTTTAAGTGACTCAAAAATATGCAAAAAAGCTTTTTTAAATTATCTTCTTGCTCATCTCCCTGTTTTAAAAGAAAGCTTTTGCTTAAAAGTGGTCGTTTTCACTGCAAGTAAACAATGACATTAACATCTGGTACTCTCAGGACTGCTCTTTAAAAAAAAAAAAAATCGCTATTACAGGGTGCGTACCAAGGCTCACACCTGTAATTCCAGTACTTCGGGAGAGAGAGAGGGGAGGGAGGGATCGCTTGAGCCCAGGAGTTTGAGATAAGCCTGGTCAACATGGCGAGGCCTCATCTGTACAAAAATAAATATATATATATATTTATTTATTAGCTGGGTGTGGTGGTATGTGCTTATAGTCCCAGCTACTTGCAGGCTGAGGTGAGAGGATCGCTTAAGCCTAGGAGTTAAAGGCTACAGTGAGCTATGAGCATGCCACTGCACTCCAGTCTGGGTGACAGAGCAAGATCTTGCCTCAAAAAAAAAATGCTATTAAAGACATTCATGTGTGTACTCTCCCCTATATAACGCACATCAACTTGCTTTGCAAAAACAATGCTAAAGTACAAAAGACTTAAAGCTTTAATACAAAATGGACTTTATTGACTTGTACCAATACAACCACAACTTTTTTATACACCACTGACACACATTCTACATCTGTTTAATGAAATCCTTTAAACTCCTGTTAGTAAAACTAAGACAAACCTATTAAGTGCTAAGTAAATACTAAGGGAGACTATCATTTAATTATCGTACATGAGATTCCAATCTTAAATTGCTACGTCAAGTCTCAAATCGGATCTTTTTTGCTTAAGGGAATTTGAACGATGACAATTCTGTAGCTTTGGGCAAATTCACACTCAGTTTCCACAAAGTTATAATACCCAATTAAAACTTCTGTCCCATTTCCACAGTACCGTTTGAAGGTATTTTTATGCGTATTCACTCTAGAATATTCCTGGCAAGGCCGCCGCCTTCGGGTCTCAAGATGAGCCAGGGACAGATTGGAGACTACCCCCAATCTCCCAGGAATCGGTTATCTTCCAGACCTCCAGATCGCCCTCCAGAGTAGAAAGACTGCTGAGGGGGTTTAAACTGTTGAGTCAAACATACCGCCAAAAGTTAGAGTCAACTGGTACCTTGCAAATCATTCCGCCTAACCCTTCGTTTTGCGGATGGGGAAAATACGCCTCAGAAGGGGGAACCCTAGCTCGGGGAACACTAACTCGGGGTCTAACAACGATTTAAGCTTGTCTCCTCTGGTAGTGGCCAGTAGTCCTTCTCCGTTACCCATCCCAAATTGCTTCTATTGGCTGCCAACGCAGAGGAGGTAGCGGGGCGAGAGAACCGGCACCTCCGCAGTGTGGCCAGGTTGGGCTAAAAAACGTCTTAGAAGTAATCGAGTCACTCTCTCTTCTTACAGGTGGAGAAACTGGAGAAAGTAGAGTGACGCAGCGAAGGGAGTAAATCGACCCTCAGCCAACAAGTGGCAAAAGCCTGAAGAAAGTGATCAAGATCACTGATGACCCCTCTCCCCATCTCCAAGGGGGCTGGTATCACAACCCCGACGCCACACCACATATTATTCAGCAAAACTCCCGCGCCTCCCACGCAGAACCGGCAAGAGGGAAGGCGAGGCAACAGTAACAGCTGGTACGCAGCACCCACAGCACCGCGGCAGCAGCTGGTACCGAAATCCCGCCTAGCTCTTTTGACTCTGTCCGCGGGAAGAATGGGGAAATAGTAAGGCTGCGGCGCCTCCCGCGAGAAGAGGTACCTGAGGCTCGCGCCGCAGTCCGCCGCCGCACCGGCACCGGAGCTCCACACCCCACTTCCGGGGTCAAGTCACCGCCGAGAATCCACTGATCGCAGAAGGGTAGCCTCAAGTTCCGCCCCTATCCAAGCCCCGCCTCCACTGCCTCTCGCCCTGTATCAGGCAACTTCCAGGACGCCGTGCGTCACTAAGCAGCCAATCTCCACTTCCGGACGCATCCCGCCCCTTCTCCACCCCTTTCAGTGACAGCGCGATTGCGATTTAGTTTTCCGCGCATTTAATTGGCGAAGCTGGAGCGCTAGTCTTCGCTGATTGGTGCCGGGAAATCTGCCCCATAGACACCCGCGGGGCGCACAGTTTCAGTAGTTCGTGGGTTTCCCGCCAGCTGCAGTCTTGGACCATAATCATGGTGGACATGATGGAGTTACCGAGGTCGCGCATCAACGTCGGCATGCTAGCTCAGTTCATCGACAAGCCTGTCTGCTTCGTAGGGAGGCTGGAAAAGGTATGCGGGTTCGCAGTCATGGGCTCCCCTGTCCGTAGCTGGAGGGAGGGACCCCATGACCGCCTGGGTGGCGGATTCTAAGTGGATAACGGCGGATGAAAAAGGACGGAAAGCCTCAGATCACTGCGCTCCCGAATCCTTTATTTTGCAAAAGGAGACTTCTTGGAAATTCTTTAGCCGTTGTAGCCCCATTTTGGTGCCTCTTTTATGACACGAAAACAAGGTGTTTTCAGATGCTCTGCGTTCTAAATTCCAGTGCCTGTCGCCTCCGTTCTGGCCGTGCTTACGTAGGGGAAATTATAAACACGACTCCCACATCTACCTTCAGATTTCTTAGTTTACTCAGACGTCACGGACGCCGACAAAACTAATCTGCTGGTTTCCTTCTCTTCTGAAATTACTTCTTTTTGCAAACCTCGTTTCCTCGTAATCGCTTCTCTGTAAAACATGCCTTGATTGTCCGCTTTGGGTCCCGTAGTAGTGAGTTATCTAACCCCACTATTAAAGTGAAGTTCCCTCATTCTACAGGCGAGAAACAGGCCCAAAGTCTTGGAATCAGTGACCTGAAAAGCTGAGGGAAAGAAAACTATTATATAAAGACTTATTTAGTAGCTCATTTCATCCACACATCCTTTTCGTTAAATGAGTGTTGCTCTGACTTCCCAAGTAGGGAAACTGAGTATGAGTGGTAGGTGGTTGACTAAAATGCTCAGAAACTCAGCAAGTGGCAAAGGTGGCATTCAAACGCGATCTGACAGCGCTCTTTACAGCTGCTTCCCAGGAGTAGACACAGATATTCCAGCAACCAGTTCTCCTTTTACTTCATCATGCCTGATTTTTAAAACATACCCTCCATGGGATATGTGCTGTCTAAATCATGAGTGCCAGCAGCTTTCACTTTTCGATAGGGTGGGCTTCCTTTGATTTGTTATTAGAATAGGGTTGCCATATTTAGCAAATACAGAACCTACTTATACACTACCAAAAAAAAATCCTTGTTTTTCTGAGATTCAAAATTAACTGTGTTCTATGAAGACATTTGGTAACGTAAGATTATAATTTGAACTAATAAGTTGAATAAACTGAATGAATAGAACGAATAAACTGTTCAAAAAACAGTTGATTTGTGCTCCATTAAGGATCAATGTACTCATCGTTTGTCAAACTTTTTTGTTGTTTCAATGAGATTTTAATCTTATGTTTCGTTTTTAGATTCATCCCACTGGAAAAATGTTTATTCTTTCAGATGGAGAAGGAAAAAATGGAACCATCGAGTTGATGGAACCCGTATGTTTAAATATTAATAAGTCTCATATATATTATAGTTAATTCTTCATATGGATTTGGTTTGTTGCCAATGTGTCTAATTTTTTGGAATGAATTTAAAAAGGATGAGCTGGTAAAACGTCCCTGGCTCAAAAATTAAATTCTTGTACTATTCTCTCATTATATTTCCTTTTACATTTTTAACCAATGATTTTTTGGGCTTCATGATTTTTGAAAATATCCCATAAATGCTGGATAACAATTCTCATTCCTTATGAAAGACCATAAAATCACATAAGAAAAATTTAAATTGTTTTTTTCTTCCTCAAGAGGTTTTTTGTTTTATTTTTGTTTTTTGTTTTGAGACAGGGTCTCACTCTGTTGCCCTGGGTGGAATGCAGTGCCACCGTCGTGGCTCACTGCAGCCTTAGCCTCCCGAGATCAAGTTGCTCCCATCTCAGCCTCCCCAGTAGCTGAGACTACAGGCAATGCTCAACCATGCCTGGCTAATTTTTGTTTTGTTTTGTTTTTCGTAGAGATGGAGTCTTCCTATGTTGCTCAGGCTGGTCTTGAACTCTTGGTCTCAGGCAATCCTCCTGCCTCGACCTGTCCCTCAAAGTTTTAAATTTTATTTTATTTTCTATTTTTGTTCATATATTTCAGTTTTTACGTATTTATTTTTGCATTTTATGTTTAAAATACTTAAAACTTGTTTTGGCATTTTGTGAAGACAAATCCATATGCTGTTTGGTTAATGTGTACAGAACACATTGTGAAATACAGATTATAGAAGATTCCTCTCATAGGAAATTACTGCTTATAGAAATGCTGGACATTTTCAATAGCGATTTCGGCTTTAACTTGAATTGTAGCTTTGTACTTGAAGCTACTGGTAAATGTAACAGGAATGTTAACATGCTGACAGTTAAGTACTCAAACATTTGTTAACAAGTTACATTTTAACTTTTGCATTGGTAATTTTTAAAATTACTTTGTTACTTGAAGTGAAAGATTAGTAACCTGTATAACAGTTTTCCAAATTAATTGTCAACTGAAAATGTAATAACACCAAATTGACGTCTTGTTCTGTGCCTTAGCTTGATGAAGAAATCTCTGGAATTATGGAAGTGGTTGGAAAAGTAACCACCAAGGCCACCATCTTGTGTACATCTTATGTCCAGTTTAAAGAAGATAACCATCCTTTTGGTAAATAAAGCATTAGAGTATTGACTGGTTTTATGTAATTAGCAGGAAAACTTTTTATTTTTAATTTGATATATATTGGTCTAGAGGATTAGTACTGCTATATTTTCAATTTCTATAGAATTTTGTGATCCTAAAGGAAAATGGGGGTACATTTTGTTTTGACCTGCTTCTAAGTAGTGCTTATATACGTAGGAAACTCAGTAAAGATTAATTAATATTTGTCGAAAGGTAATTTTTTTAATATAACAAAAATAGTATTAGTTTTTTTGTTGTAATATATAAATTGAAGGAACTGAATAATGCATAACACCCAAACACTGCCAGGCAGAAACTGCCTGTATAATGAACATCAAAATGGCTGGTACTCCCATGTCTTTTTTTTTTTTTTTTTTTTGACGTCACAGTTAAATACAAGAATCCATAATCCATATCTCCATTTCTAGAAATTCACTTCCAAAAGGATGAGAAAAAGGAAATAGGTAAAAATATCTTAGATAATAATTGATGTTACAACTTTCCACTGTAGATTAAATGTTTGCTTAAATGTTTCTTTCAGATCTTGGACTTTACAATGAAGCTGTGAAAATTATCCATGAGTTTCCTCAGTTTTATCCTTTAGGGATTGTGCAACATGATTGATCGTGATGGATTTTCATACAATTGCAAATGAGCTATATTAAAGACTATTAAAGGAAGCCCCTCTAGTTTGAGGGAGAGATTTCTGTGCTTTCTCATATTTAGTTTACTCTTTTTAAGATATTCCAACCTAGAGTTTTTGATGGAACTGATATATTGACAGTTCTCACCTAAGTCCTTTTATAAAGAATTGTTACTCCAATATATGGTCAGATTAGATGCAAGAATAAAGCAGTTGTCTGAGTTTAGGTTTCTATTTTATTAATAAAAACTAAAATGGTACATACTATTGGTCTTTTCATTTTCATTGTTTTAGTCATGTATTCAAGCACAAACTTGAAATTTCATAGCTGTAAGGTCAAGGTTTAGACCTACCAAATAAAACCTTGGGCCAGCAGTGTTTGGGATTTACTCACCTTTTCCCAAACTATACCATGATAATTATTTCCTTGATACTCTACTTATAAAATGAATTAGATGACATTAAAAAGGCAAACAGACTGGGCGCGGTAGCTTACTCCTATAATCCCAGTACTTTGCAAAGCTGAGGCGGGTGGATCACCTAAGGTCAGGATTTCTAGACCAGCCTCACCAATACAATGAAACCCCGTCTCTATTAGCCAGGTGTGGCGGCAGACACCTGTAATCTCAGCTACTCAGGAGACTGAGACAGGAGAATCGCTTGAACCCAGGAGGCGGAGGTTGCAGTGAGCCGAGATCGTGCCATCGCACTCCAACCTGGGCAACAAGAGCGAAACTCCATCTCAAGAAAAGGCAAACAGAATCTTACATCTTCTGTAATTTGTAATTACAGGCTTGATGGTTTTGTTTTTGTAGAAACAGGATCTCACTCTGTTGCCCAGGCTGCAATACAGTGGTGCAATCATGGCTAACTGCAGCCTTGAACTTCTGGGCTCAGCCTCCCGAGTAGCTCATACTACAGGTGGGCACTACCACACACAGCTAGGTTTTCCTAAATTTCTGTCTAGAGATGAGGTCTCACTGTGTTTCCCAGGCTGGACTCAAACGCCTAGCCTCAAGCAATCCTACAGCCTTAGCCTCCCAAAGTGTTGGGATTACGTGCCCAGCCTTCCTGGGTTTTAAAACAGCATTTACTAAATTCCAAACGAGGAATATATGGTCATTGAAAGAGTTCATGGAATCATTTGACTTTTTTATTCTTCTTTTTTTCTTCTTTTCAACTGTCATTATCTTTAGTATGGGATTTCTCTCTAGCACCATGTTGGAGTTGAGCAGGGAAGATGTGGCAGGTTTGGAATAAGGTAGTAAAGAATAACTGATGACCTGTGTGGCCAGTTAGGTTTTATGGCTTGACCCATTGTCTTGAATAAGGAAATAAAATAATTCTAAATCCATATAGATTACTATATACCAAAAATATTTAGTTTTAATTAGTATAATCTTAAATTTCAACTTCTGTCATCCAAAAATACTCTGCTCATTACTTGAGGACATTGCCATAACCACTTATGGTAAAACATTCTATTACGTGAAATGAAGACAGTTGTACAGTTATACGCTGTATAATGACTTTGGTCAATGACAGACTGTATATATGATGGTGGTCCCATAAGATCATAATGGAACTGAAAAATTCCTGTCGCCTAAAGACAAAGGCATGATAACGTCTTACCACAATGCATTACTCACATGTTTGTGGTGATGCTGGTGTAAACAAGCAGCACAGTAAGCTGCATATAAAAGTATTACACATAGAATTATGTATGGTACATAGTACTTGATAAAATACCATGTTACTGGCTATGTGTTTACTATTTATCATTATTTTAAACTATACCCCTACTTACAGAAAAAAAGGTAACTGTAAACAGCCTCAGGAGAGTCCTTCAGGAGGTCTTCCCAAAGAAGGCTTTATTATAGGAGATGACAGTTCCTTGCATGTTATGGCCCTTGAAGAACTTCCCCTGGGACAAGATATGGAAGTAGAAGACAGTGATATTGATGATCCTGACCCTGTGTAGGCCTAGGCTAGTATGTGTGCTTGTGTTTTAGTTTTTAACAAAATAGGTAAAATGTAAAAAGAAAATTTAATTTTGAAAATAGAAAAAAGTTCATAAGAATACAAAGAAAAATATTTTTGTTCAGCTGTACAGTGTGTTTTAAGCTAAGTGTTATTCAAAAAGAGTGAAAATGTTTTTAGAAAATTTACCTTTTTTATTTATTTACTTATTTTTTTGAGATGGAGTCTTGCTCTGTCACCTGGGCTGGAGTGCAGTGGCACGATCTCAGCTCACTGCAACCTCTGCCTCCCGGGTTCAAGTGATTCTCCTGCCTCAGTCTCCTGAGTAGCTGGGACTACAGGCATGTGTCACTATGCCCAGCTAATTTTTATATTTTTAGTAGACACAGGGTTTCACCATGTTGGTTGGCCAGGATGGTCTTGATCTCTTGACCTCGTGATCTGCCTGCCTTGGCCTCCCAAAGTGCCAGGATTACAGGCATGAGCCACTGCACCTGGCCTACCATACCTTTTCTATGTTCTATGTGTAGTGGTGCATGCCTATAGCCCCAGCTACTTGGGAGGCTAAAGTGGCAGGATAGCTCGAACCCAGGAGTTCGAAGCTGCAGTGAGCAATAGTCATGCTGCTGTGTACTTCAGCCTGCACGACACAGCAAGACCCCATCCAAAAAATAAAAGTTAAAAAAAATTTTAAAGTGCATAAAGTAAAAAAGCTACAATAAGCGAGGGTTAATTTATTATTGAAGAAAGAAAAATATATTTTTATAAATTTAATGTGACCTAAGTATGTAAAGTCTACAGTAGGGTTCAGTAATGTCCTAGGTCCTCACATTACTCACCACTCACTCACACCTGGAAGCAGCTTTCAGTGTGCAAGCACAGTTTATGGTCAGTGCCCTATACAGGTGTATCTTTTTTTTTTCTTTTAAATACAGGGCCTTGCTCTGTTACTCAGGCAGGAGTGCGCCTCCCACCTCAGCCTCCTAAGAAGCTAGGACTACAGGTACACACCATTACATCCAGTGAATTTTTGTGTTTTTTGGTAGAGATGGGATCTCACTATGTTACCCGGTCTGGTCTGGAACTCATTTTTTAATCTTCTGTACTGTAATTTGTTTTTTGAAATGAAGCCTTGCTCTGTCACCCAGACTGGAGTACAGTGGCATGATCTTGGCTCATTGCAAACTCTGCCTCCCAGGTTCAAGAGATTCTCTTGCCTCAGCCTCCTGAGTAGCTGGAATTACAGTTGTCCACCACTGAGCCTGGCTAATTTTTGTATTTTTAGTAGAGATGGGGTTTCATCATGTTGGCCAAGCTGGTATCAAACCCCTGACCTCAAGTGATCTGCCCACCTCGGCCTCCCAAAATGCTAGGATTACAGGCATGAGCCACTGTGCCTGGGCTATACCATATTTTTACTGTATCTTTTCTACAGTTAAATATACAAATACTGACCATTCTATTAAAACTGCACAAAGTCTTCAGTACAACAACATGCTGTATAGGTTTGTAGCCTAGGAGCAATAGGATGTATCATCTAAGTTTGCGTAAGTATGCTCTGTGAGGTTCACACAGTAATGAAATTGTCTAATGGTTCATTTCTCGAACGTATTCCCATTCAGAGACTAGTTGAAAATGAGGAGAGACATCAGCCAGTCTCAGTAACAATGTTGTCTTGAATGCCAAAGGAGTCTGCATTAGTCCATATTCACGCTGCTATAAAGATACTCCCGGAGAATGGGTAATTTATAAACAAAGGAGGCTTAATTGACTCACAATTCCACATGACTGGGGAGGCCTCAGGAAACTTACAATCATGGTGGAAGGGGAAGCAGGCACCTTCACAAGGCAGAGAGAGAGAGAGACAGAGAGAGCAAGAGCTCTCTTTTATAAGGGAAAACTGCCTTATAAAACCATCAGATCAGCTGAGCACAGTGGCTCACACCTGTAATCCCAGCACTTTGGGAGGCCAAGGTGGGCGGATCATTTATGGTCAGATGTTCGAGAACAGCCTGCCCAACATGGCAAAGCCCCATCTCTACAAAAAAATACAAAAAGCTGGGCATGGTGGTGCATGTCTGTAGTCCCAGCTCCTCCGGAGGCTGAGGCAAGAGAATTGCTTGAACCCAGGAGGCAGAGATTACAGTAAGCTGAGATCCCGCTTACTGACAGAGCAAGAATCCGTCTCAAAAAAAAAAAAAAAAAAGCCAGCAAATCTCATTGTGAACTCACTCACTATCATGAGAACAGAATGGGAGAACCACTCTATGATGTAGTTAGTTACCTCCACCTGATCTCTCCCTTGACAAATGGAGATAACGGGTACTACAATTCAAGATGAGATTTGGTTGGGGATACACAGCAAGCCATATCATTCTGCCCCGGCGCCTCTCAAATCTCATGTCTTTTCACATTTCAAAACCAATCATGCCTTCCCTCCCAACAGCGCCCCCATTCCTTAACTCATTTCAACATTAACTCAAAAGTCCACAGTCCAAAGTCTTATCTGAGATAAGGCAAGTGCAAGTCTCTTCCACCTATGAGCCTGTACAATCAAAAGCAAGTTAGTTACTTTGTAAATACAATGGTGGTACAGGCTTCGGATAAATGCTCCCATTCCAAATGGCAGAAATTGACCAAAACAAAGGGGCTACAGGTCCCATGCAAGTCGAAAATCCAGTGGGGCAGTCATTAAATATTAAACCTCCAAAATAATCTCCTTTGACTTAATATCTCACATCATGGGCATGCTGATGCAAGGGGTGGGCTCTCGTGGCCTTCTGCAGCTCCTTCATGGGCTGGCACTGAGTGTCCTTGGCTTTTCCAGGCACAGGGTGCAAGCTCTCAGTGGAGCTACCATTCTGGGTTCTGGAGGATGGTAGCCCTCATCTCACAGCTCCATTAGGCAGTGCCCCAGTGGGTACTGTTTGTGGGGGCTCCAATCCCACATTTCCCTAATGCAACACCCTAGCAGAGGTTCTCCGTGAGGGCTCTGCCCCTGCAACAGACTTCTGCATGGACATCCAGGTATTTCCATACATCCTGTGAAATCTAGGTGGAAGTTCCCAAACCTCCACTCTTGAATTCTGTGCACTGCAGGCCCAACACCACGTGGAAGCTGCCAAGGCTTGGGGCTTGCACCCTTGGAAGCAACAGCCCAAGCTATACCTTGGCCCTTTTTAGCCACATCTGGAGCTTGGGATGCAGGGCACCAAGTTCCGAGGCCGCACACAGCAGCGGGCACCTGGCCCTGCACAGGAAGCCATTTTTTTTCCTCTTAG